GTAATATAAAAAAAATTGGAAGAAGTTCACAAATATCTAATTCACTTGTTATATTGTCCAATATATTTGCAGATTCATTGAAGAAATAGTAGTAATTTTGACAAAGAAGTACCTTTCAATTTGTTTCTTTGTTGATAAAGAGTTGAGCCCGCTGTTGAAAATAATTTAAAAATAAAATTTTGTACAACTGACTTAAGGATAACTCAAAAACTATTGGTCAGACTTATATGGGTCTAATTTATATGGGACCACATGTGAAGCACCAAATTTCAAATAAAAAAAAGAATCATCGAAATCGGTTCACCCAGAAAATAGTTATGAGGTAAAACACATTACAAAAAGAACATACAGTGGAATTGAGTACCTTCTCCTTTTTGAAGTAAGTAGATAACCGCTCAGATGGTGCTGATGTAGCGATTTTGGTCAAATATCTCACCGCAAGTTTTCTTTTTAATTTTAGTTAGGTAGAACCGATAACATTGTTCTAATCGTGCATTGGTTCGTGTTTAAGATCAACGATCGTTTTTTTTTAAACAACCGATAAAGAAACAGATAACCAGCAACGACACTAATAACTAACGAAATCAATGACAACTGCGACATTACAGTTATACTTAACAGTTAAATTTGATACCCCATAATGATATATTTTTAGGTTATCGATGCGATGCATTCTGACTTATTCAAATTTTTAAATATTTTAGAGAAGTCGCAAGATTTAGTTGATATTGATTTCGCGGATTTGCAAGTACCCAATAATCGATATTGGGTTTACTGACATCGATGTTTCGATATTTGACATGTGGCAACATCGATATTTTCATTCTTGACATCCCTAGTTTTTTTCTTTAATTTATTTTTATATTTATTTTTTGTGCATACAAGCGAGAAGGTAGAAAATAGAAATACCGTAATATACATAGGTATACAGAAAGAATTTAAACATGGATATAAAAACTACAAAATCTGTATTGTTTTGGCAGTCAATCGATATATTAATAAGGAAACCTCATTTGATAAATAAAAGGTTATGGGGTTGCATTCCACTTCGTAAATATATTTGCCAGGTTATAGAATGTAATTGGGAATTAGCATTACAAGACATGAAATTAGGAAATTCTATAGAAGTTGATTCTTTTATGGCCATTTTATTTGATAAAACGAAACTTAAACCTATTTCTGGTTTAGATACTCAAAATCACAGTGATACGATAGAAGTTATTTTAATAGAATTGCTTCCTAAAACTTATACAGAAAGTCATGCATACCAATTGATATGTTTGAAAAAGAAAGTACAAGCTGTCACTTTTTATAACGTAACGCCTATACAAAACAATCAAAATTTGTGCCCAAACTTTATTTACAGCTTTCAGTTACTAAATGAAGAAATTACTATGAATGCAAACAGCGGTTAGTCTTATGATAATGTTTTTAAAATCATAATCTCTTTTTGGTACCACAGTCTGTTATTATTATTAACTACACAGCATACACAACTTGTAGGTCATGAACTATAAAATATATAAATTTAGATATTAGTGCCAACATTATCTGTTTGGGATTTTATTTGTTAATATGTTAGGTTTATGTCTACCTTAAACTAATTCTGGGTTGGCACTACCATCTTACCTATTTCTGCCACCAAGCATTCTTGTTTTAATTGGATCCGTTTCAGTCTTAGAGATTACAACCCATCTTTGGTCTTTGAAGTCAGTTGCAGGTATCCATAGTCTTGTCTGTCGTAATAATAAATTAATTTGATATTGTAAAAAAACCTGCCAAGCTGGTTATGGACCATGAGAAACTTCCCTATTGTTAGTTTCGAATAGTTGTTTTGACCGTACATATTTAACTGCTATTAGTTTAATCCTTAAACCTTATTAACTCCTTTTCTTATAAGTAAATGTTTATAGCAAATCTTTATATATCTATACAAATAAATAAAATTGAAGTGTCTGTTTGTAACGTCAAAATAACAGCTTTTTACTAAATGCATATGAAAGTATATATGATACTTATAACAAAAACACAATTTTTAAAATTTTGTCTCTGTCCGTTTATTCTGGCTAATCTTCGAAACGGCTAGACCAATTTCGACAGGACTTTCACTGGCAGATAGCTGAAGTTATAAGGAGTAACTTATGCTACTTATATTTTAGAAAAAGAATTAGGGTTCCGCACAATGTAATTAAAACCCTAAATTACACTTGGGCAAAGTTGTGGGGAACAGCTAGTATTATAATGATAGTTAAAAATGTTGTACAGCCGACTTCAATATAAGTTATTAAGAATAACTCAATAACTATTCGTCTGACCTTGATCAAATTTATATGGGACCACATGATAAGTATCAGCATTCAAATAAAAATGGAATCATCAAAATCGGTTCACCCAGTAAAAAGTTATGAGGTAACAAACATAAAAAAAAACATACAGTTGAATTGAGTACGGTCTCCTTTTTGGCAGTCGGCAGTAAAAAGATTAGAATTAGATCAGAAAGATTTTTAATGAAATTTCTTGTGTGTATTGGAGTGGGAACTTGAATGGTTTAGATTTAGAATTCGACCTGGTAGGTGGCGCTGTTGTCAAGATCCAGAAATCACTTATGTGAAGCAGAAACAGATTGCTAGTGGCCTATAAATTATATCATGTGACATGAGTTTTAAACATTAATTAAAATTATTACTTGTTACAGATAGTGATTCTAAGTCCTACCTATGGCTGCTGAAAAATGTGTTACCTCAGGTCATTAGGTGGACAAACCAACCTGTAATAAGCCAGGGAAACACATCAGCTATTAAAGATTCTTTGACTCTAGTGCCAAATGATGAATATTATAGAAAATACAATTATCTTAAACTTAAATATGGCAAGGAAATGGTTAAGGTACAGTTTTTAAAAAAACTTGTAACATAATAACTTGCACTAAAATATTAAGTTTTGTTAATCTACTACGAAGTAACTAGCTAAGTGTTCACTTTAAACACTGTTCAGGAGCAACCCGGGATCCAACCCGCCAGCAACAATGAAATTGTTCATTGCAATTTATGGTCTGATACACATCAGCTGTGAAGGAAAACATTGTGAAGAAACTTGCATGTCTGGAAAATAAAATAATAGGAGAATATGAAGTCTGTCAACATGCTTTATTTAGAGAGGTGCAGCAGATTAATCACTCTGTCCCTCTCAAAAATGAGGGGGACCTGTGCCCAGTAGTATATGAGCAGTAATTCCTTCTACCTTTTATTTATAGATACAAATTTGTAATATTGATATAATCTTGTTATCATATTATCATTATAACTGCTACTGGATATAGATCTCTTCTATGCAAGTACAAGACACGTTTCTAGGCCCCTTTATCCAACAATTTCTACATGCCTCATCAAATAACCTCTCTAGCAAGGACTCTTTGAATCTTTTCCTCATTGCTTGTTAGTTCTTCTAGCTATATGGACAACCCATTACAAATTTAGTTTACTAATCGCTTCTATTGTGAATATCACCATTATAAATTTTATGACTATCATTCTATATTGGTTCATAGTTTGTATATTATATTAATAACTTAAGATATTTTTTACAGATTTGGCCTGAGTGCACTGATCCAATAAAATTTGTTTATGAAGATGTTGCTATAGCCACATATTTATTGCTTCTTTGGGATAGTAAAAATTTGAATGGATTAACTAAATCAGTATCATTTGTTGATGTTGGTTGTGGCAATGGATTGCTAGTGTATATTTTAACTAAGGAGGGGCATAAAGGATTAGGAGTAGATGTGCGTAAAAGAAAAATTTGGAATATGTATGAAGAGGATATAAAACTAGAAGTAAGTATTTACAATAAGCAAATTGTAAAAGTATGACATTATTCCTCAGTGGTAATTTATAATTGTTTCTTTAACTTTAGGAAACAACTGTAACACCGGAAAATATTCAAATGTTTTCCGGATTTGACTGGATAATTGGTAACCATTCAGATGAACTAACACCATGGATACCTGTTATGACAGCAAAATCATCATACAATTGCAGTTTTTTTTTACTTCCATGTTGTGCTTATAATTTTGATGGTACTAAGTATCAGCGACAGAATTCATCAAAAAGTCAATACAATGAATATTTAGATTATATCTACAAACTATGCGAAGATTGTGGTTTCCATACTGAAATGGACAGACTGAAAATACCAAGCACTAAAAGAATATGCCTTATTGGCAGAAGAAGAAAGTATATGGAAAATGAATATGATAAATATCAAACTACAATTTCATATTTAGTTGATAATAAAAATACAGTCATAAGAAATGAACATGAACATTTAGAAATAAATGGTTTTAAAACAAGAGACCCTATAGAAAAAGTAAGAAATTGCACTCAAATTGATAAATCTATTATAGAGTCAATTATCAAGAATATTACCACATTTCTTTTGGATGGATGTAATTTTATAGACGAATGGACTCCAGGAAAGGAATTACATATTTTTGAGTTAATTAAAGTTATTCCTCAAGATAAATTAAATGTTTTAAAAGCAGAGTGTGGTGGAATACAAACCTTGTTGAAAAATAATCATCATATTTTTAAAGTTCAAAATGGAAAAGTTACATTAAGACAACCAAAATCTATTGAAGAAACTACAAAAAATATTAAAAAACAAGGTAAAAGTAATAGTATCATAAAACTACAAGTAAGACCATGTTGGTTTTATAATAATCACCCACAAGGCTGTCCCTTGAGTGATACTAGCTGTAGCTTTTTACATACACGTAGCTGATATGTGTGAAGGTGGAATGTTTAAAAAGTAATATAAACAAATGTAATAAAAAGAATATAGATTTGATTTTATAATTTTACATAAATGTAACAAATACAACCCCTTAAGCTTTTTACATCTTATCACCAGACAACTATCATAACATTGCACTTTTTTATGTAGTTTTATAGTTTGCTGAAAATTATCCACATACTAAGTTGAAATTGTATTGTAAACCAACCTTATACATCTATTTCAAAGCGTTTATTGAGTTCACTTAAGTTCCTTTCATCAACTAAACTTGCAGCATCATGTTCTCCCATGAAAGAACAAACCATTCTCAAAGTAGACCATATTGTTGAAGATCCAATATTTGACGCCAATGCATCTTGGTGCATGCTTTTAGCTTTGTTCTGTTGATTAAGTGCAACAAGAAAATGTTCTGCTGCTTGTCTGTGCACTCCTAAATTCATACAAGTAACACCAACATTATATCTTGCTCTTATAAATCCAGGCTCTATATTAAGAGCTTCGTGATATGCATTTACTGCTTCTTCTGATCTATTACTATTAGCTAAAGTTGCACCAAGTCTATTCCATAATTTTGCATTATCATTTGACACCATAAGTGCAGTTTTAAAACAGTCTACAGCTTTGTCATATTCTTGACTAATATTAAAAATAACTCCAAGAGCATTTTGAACATCCGGATCGATTTGTAATGGGTATAACTGTGCTGCTTTTAAATACAATGATTTGACATGACTCTCCAGCTCTTTTAAGTCTAATTTTTGAATATCTATATCTCGAGGAAGTAAATCACTATATTTAGGGCTTGCATTCAACCAATTATATAATGCAACAAATGCAAATTTTGGCATGTCTTCATTGGTGTACGCAGCTGCTAAAGTAATATATGCTTCGAGTTGTCGTGGATCAATCTTCAGAGATTTTTTTAATGCTGTGATAGCTAATGGATCCTGCTCATTCTCAGCCTGTGTGGTACCCAAGAAAAACCAGGCCTCAGCTGAAGTAGGTTGTTGTTGTACAGCAGCTTCAAAACAAAGTACAGCACCTGGTATATCTCCCATCTTTAGTTTCTCCTTCCCAAGTTCAAAAGCACTTTTGTTTTCTAACATGACATTTCCTTCAGTAAATGAGTACTCTTCTGAAATTCCATCAGTAGTTGATAATTTCCAATCACCAGTAATATCACTTAATTTAGACCATTCATCTTTATATTTTTCAGCCATTTCATCAATCATCTTATCTTTACCCATTGCCCTTTCATTTCCTTGCTCTGTTTCTCCCAGATTTAACTCTCCAGCACTTATTCGCTTCATAAAGGACATAAACTGATTATATTCATCATCACTTTCAACAGTTTTTATATATTCTTGAGCTTTTGCACGCACGTCACTATCCTGAACATCCTTAAGTTCAGATTCATCCATATACTGAATATTTACATTAGCTAATGCTGGCTGCTGTGTCAAAACAGGTGGATATGGTGCTGAAAACGCTCGCATCATGCTTGTTTGTGGCAAAAAGGAAGACGATGGTCCTGGTAACCAGATGGGTTGCTTTTGGGAACTTACGATTGTATTTTTATTATCATTAAGTAAGGGTGCACTAGTTTGTATCTTAACATTTTCAATGTCAGGCATGTTTTTTAGCAGGGTATTCATATTAAATGTTTGAGGTGTTTGAGAATTCTGGGCTATAAATTCATTGACAAACCTGTCAGCCTGCGAAAGTGATTGCGAAAGAGAAGCATCACGACCAACAATGTTAGACAATTGAACAAGAGAATTGTTTCCACCACAATCACCTCCAATTAACTTATTTAAAGACATGTTTTTACGAAGTTATAACCCACTGTGTATCGGATATAGCAAACTAAATAGTTAAACACTAGAAAATTATAATCCGTTTCAGGGGGGTCAAAGTGCAAAAGTTTTAACGAGTACGAGATAATGATATTTATAATATTACATTTAATAATAAAGATGTAATGAAAACGTCAAAATACAACATAGATAATTATATATGTAGAAATACATATCCATAGATACGGCATGTCAAAAGTCAGATTGTTACGTAGAGGGAGTATGTATTGTCTCTACGGATTGTTACAATTTTACAGCACCATGGAGACAGAGTCCTTCGGTCCAAATCAAAAGTCATTAGCTTGCTATAGATTTACTAATCTGTGAAAATCTAAGTGCTACCTACCAGTTTGTTTCTACTCATTCCCCACATGAAATTTCTATTCCTATATTCTTTCACTTAAAATTGCAATTAACAATTTCATTGGTGCCGGCACGGTTAGACAACATAAAAACCACCAGCTTTCAAATAAAAAAAGAAACATCAAAATCGGTTCAACTACAAAAAAGAACTTAGGTAACAAATAAAAAAACTTTATTGTTACGTAGTAGAGCCATGCTGCAGCTATATTATTAGTATAGTTGTAGCACGAATGGGTTGGCTCGGCCGGGGAAGGACCACGCTCTCACATAATTGCAGCTTAACGCTGCTGTGTTTCGTATGGTGAGTGTAGACAACCGGAGACCATTTTTACTGGAAATGAGGCATTCCATCTTAACCGCGGCGCCCACCTAAGCTACATGATTTCGACATGGCTAGTAGCATGATTCTGACGATACTCTGACGTGACCACGGGTGACACTGCTTGCGCCAACCTGTGCAACAATAGCATATTGCAGAATTCAGTTTGAGCCAAAATGTCGTCTGAAGAAGATAAACATACCCTTGCTATGCTACAGATTTCAAACATTCCAAGTGCCAGCAAAAGATTTCGAGTACATGCTTTGAGGAAAAAAATTGAAAATTGGTGGGACTTTCAATGCTATGAAGGAATTAGAATTATATTTTGCATAGGCAAGTCACTATAAGTTGCAAGAAGTATCTTGCGAATTCCTGTTAATGCAATCGGGTCTAGAACAATCATATTGTATACATGGCCTTTCATGAAAAGAAAAAAAAGCTAGGTCGTCTTTCATTTTGTATAGACAAGTCACTGCAAGTTACGTGTTACGCGCCACTTCGATGCGTCACTAGTAGCAAGCTGAATGGCACGTCACGTCATGCGGCGTCACGCCACGTTAATGGGCGCTGCTACATACAATCCCTTTGAATGTTGAGGCGAGTGACAAGTTACGCGTCAAATCACGCGTTACGTTACTTAGGTGGGCGCCGCGCCTTTGTCCTCACGGTTAACAACGTATCTGCATTTTGATTTGTAATAGAGGATAGATGTAGATGTCAATGGGTCGCAGCAATCACTTATAGCCTGTCAAGAAAGTCATGAAAAGAATATTCTTAGAACTACTGCTTTCGCTTGCACTGGCAACAATAAATTATTGTCAAACTGAGTAGCTCAGCTGCCATATCGTCGCTTTGTAGTTGATGTGCTCTAAGGCTGGCTTTTCACTATGGGATATAATATATATTATATCCCGAAATATAAATTATATCCCGCGATTGGCTTTCACACTGTGAGATATATCTTTTAACTAGTGTGCGTTCGTCATTGGATTACCCCTTGTACTCCGCACACGGTTCTGCGGCGATGCGGGGTACAGGGGGCGAAATATAATATGAAAATATCGGTCGGTCGATCGAAAAAATATTTATAGTTTGAGATGAAATATATATTATAGCTCAGTGTAAACAGTTACATATAAATGTATGGTGAGCGATATTAATTTATATCTCGAGATGTAATATATATTATATTATATCCCATAGTGAAAAGTGGGCTTAAGATTTTTTGTTATATTTCGAGTTTTTCTTATCGTATGACCGATAAGTCTTTAGAGATCAGAAACAAAACGCAGTGTTTGTAAGAGCGGTACCAGACAAGTCATTTTAAAGTGTTTCAAGAGTGTATGGCCGAATTTCAAGCGGAAAAGTTTCTTTCCGATTTAAACGATGTTTACAGTCGAACAGCAAAGATAACTGGTACGTACGTGTATTTTAATGTTAAACACAATAAAAAAAACTGTAATCTCATATCTATCATTTCTTTTTAAGTATAATTTATCTGTTTTACTACATTGTATACAAATTGTTGAGGTTATGAAATTTATTTAAGAATTATACTACACCCCCCGGGCGACAGCTAAGCCACTGATATCAGACGCGGAGCCGGAGTTGGGGGCACAGATTAGGGTATACATATGCGTAGCTTGGTTATGGATACCTACTCTCAGGTGCACAGATGAAAATATTTGATGATATTCGTATGTTGTTGCTGTAGCAGAATTCGTAAAGTATATCAACATCTCTTTTTCACTGATAAAAAACAAGAACTTGGATTAATGATAAGAAGTACTAAAAATTAGAATATTGTTGTTTTATATTTTTATTACCATATCAAAACACTTAATTTAAATACTACAATACATAATATCTTTTCAGCTAATAATACAATACAAAATTGTTAATACAACTTAACATTTCTCAACCGAGACATTAGAAACAACAATCATAATTATAAATTATAAAAAAGCAAATGTAGTCTGTGTAAAAAGTCAAATCTATTTGTATGGGCGAGGCGAGGGAGTGCTATTAGTTATTTGCGATTTTGCCAATACAAACGAACTTTAAGACAATTAAAGTTAGTTTATAAGATTTAAAAAAAAATATACCTACCTACTTAGTTTATGAAATAAAACTAATTTTATTCAGTTCATAAATAAATCAGAATCGGTCAGTTTCGAAAAACTTTTTGAAGAATGAGAGGATAACATTAGGATGGGAATTGCCTACGTAAAAATAAATGTGGTTCCAGACATTCCAAATGAAGGGTGGCGGCTATCGAGAACGATTTCATAGCGCCAGCAATAATACGCAAGCACTTTGAATGTATCCTGTCTAGTTTGCTAGACACAATAATTTTACTACAAGGTTCTAATATAAATCCGGCATAGTTAAAGTGCCTGCGGATTATTGCATTATAGAGAAATTTGTGGTTGATGAACGAACACCAAATAACGCGCGTATAATATTTACATTTTTCTTCAATCAACATATATCTTTCTTTTCTCTTCTCTTTTCTTTTCTTTGATTTTCTCTTGTATCGTGGCGTATATTCTAGGTATCGACTTGTTGATGTACTAATTGTATGTTGATTTATTGGTTACTGACATATACATTTAATAGTTTGTTACACAGTATGTATAAATGTAAATTAATTACTAATATACCTAGGTTTTTTGGTGTTTTCTTTGATGGAATTTTTAGGGATTATGAGAGTAATATTGCTTTTTGTTTGTGGTTTTCTGGTGTTTCTTTTAGAAGGTGAATTGAATCTGGTGGAGAGCTAGTTTTAACCAGTCTTAACTGTTGGCAACACTGCTAACAGCTGATTGTTCTAATCAAGGATGTTGTAAAATTATACCTAACTTCCTTGGTTCTAACCCTGTCCTGACCACTGACTTAGAAGTATATGGACTGGGCATACCTACAGAATTAGCGTGACTACCTAAACCACAGAACACAATTACTCTTTATCAAGAGAAGAACGCCAACTTCATACTAAAAACGGAAACACGTGTTTACGTGTGTATACGAAAAGCGCTACGGTGGACGCCCATATAAAACTTTTTAGCGGGAATTTCAAACCTTTGTATTCTGTAACTTTAAACTTTTTATTTAAGGCTTATTCGAGTAATTTTGGATCAAGCCTCACAAACCTATGGGGTAAATTCCCATATATTTGAGAATTCGCACCAAAATTACTCGAATATAATTTAGATTAATATGTGGGATAAAATAAAACTATAAATAAGTATAGTTATGTAATTTTATTTTTTGGAAGACAGATTGTTTTATAAACTACATATTATTATTGATATTTTTATTGCTTTTGCACGTAATATTTCCACACACGTTACTAATATATAACACATGTTATTGTCAAAGAGTTATTCTTCACAGAACATTAACGTAAATTTAAATCAGCAAAATTCTCATGATGAAAACTTTACTCAGCCCAAATACGTGATCTGAAACAGATACAATTCGAGTCAATATAGTAATAAACCCTACAAATAACGGCCAATAAATTCGAAATGTTTATAGCCTTACCACAATATTGTCATAAGTTTTTCTTTTCCTATCATAGGAAACTTGCAGAAAGTGATCAGATGATTTCGTGCTTTTTATTTACACAAAACTTAACTTACTTTCGATGATGATCACAAATCGTGCATAAAACTTTGAAATAATGAATTCATTTATAGTCAATATCTTTTTTTTTTTTTTTTTTTTTTTTTTATAGGAGAGGGGGCAAACGAGCATGCGGCTCACCTGATGGTAAGTGACTACCGCCGCCCATGAACAACCGCAACACCAGGGGAATTGCAGATGCGTTGCCGGCCTTTTAAAAAGGAGTAGGCTCTTTTCTTGAAGGTCCCTAAGTCGTATCGGTCCGGAAAAATCCCTGGTGGTAAACTATTCCACAAGGAAGTTGTGCGAGGAAGAAAACATCTTCTAAATCGCACAGTGGTGGACCGCCAATCATCCAGATGGTGTGGATGGTATCGGGAGTTCTGCCGCGATGTGCGTTCGTGAAATTTGGCGGCTGGGATTAATCCGAACAATTCCTCAGAGCACTCCCCATGGTAGATGCGAAAGAAAATGCAAAGAGATGCAACATCTCTTCGCAGTGCCAATGAATCGAGCCGATCGGAAAGGGCTCGGTCGTCGACGATTCGAGCCGCTCTGCGCTGGATGCGGTCAAGTGGAAGGAGCTGGCACTGGGGAGCCCCTGCCCAGAGATGGGAACAGTATTCCATGTGAGGCCGAACCTGCGCCTTGTAAAGTT